ATGCCATCGGGATGGTATGGCGGTTTACATGCCAGATCTTCTGTATATGTCAACAGCGTTTTATGGACCGCTGACCAGTTGGGAACTTGTGGTTCCCCTACCAAATTCAAGGCCTGTCAACCGGGAATCTTCCGGATGTATCATCACCAGTGCCAGGGCTTCAATCGACCTCTGAACAAACTCACCTGGATGCACTGAAACGAAACACTGGATGAATGATGCATCTTCAGAAGAAAGAAGACATGACTTGACATGAACATCACATCAGTCGACCTCCCAAATCAAACAACTAACCCCAAAGCATCCGGAACCCCTAACCTGTCCATCTCCAAGTTGCTCAGCTGCTGATCCAGCACAATTCGGAAGGTCGCAAAGGCCTAGCTGTTGAGCCCCTCGCCCCCCCGAAACAATTATCGTATATTGACATCTCGGCGGTGGGGTCAAAGTGGGCCCGCCCCAACCCAAGAGATATTCGATGCGTACATCTTCACCATTTCCGTTTGTGCTGGGCCTTGACGGGCTCGAGGGCTCGGCTCGAACTACTGTCGGTCCACCGGTAGACACATCTGTCCTGAACTGCTGATCACCGGTGGTGCCGCAATTGCGAGGCTGAACCTCCAGGTCCTTGTTTGCAAGTTCATAGACCTGTGGGTTTTAGCCAGCTTCAGTTCATGTGTCCTTTGATCATGATGATCATGCCGATGTTCTCATGGGGCCTCATGAAGAGAGAAATCCAACTGAGAAACCACAGGGAGCCCTTCCTTTGATTTGGCCTTCCTCGTGCTCATCTGCACATAATCCAAGTATGTCAGTATGTCCAGCGTTGCCAAGATAAACATCAAGTGACCATCTGACACGAGCATGCACACATGTTCCTGGGGAGCACAGGGTATGAAAATGGCATGCTCCCCTGGCCCCTCTACACACCATCGAGAGGGACGATCAGAAGCGTACCCTCCCTATTCCCTAATCCCCGTTGGGTAGTGACCAACTACATGTGAGAGTGGGAACAGTTGATCTAAACACACATACTATATAGACCGTAAGAGTACTGAAATTACAGCTTACCAAAAAGGATAAATCGCAAGTGCTTGAAGATCCTAACGCTGGACGACCCGCACACAGCTGCCTCTTGCTGCTCGTCCATGGTGAAGATCAGCGACACGCAAATTGCGCAAAAATTGTTGATTTGAAGTTTCTGGAGCAAATTGCCACTACTATTGGAGCAACTTTTGACAACTTTCGGATGCCAGGAATTGTCAGGATAAATGTTGACTCCCTGTATAGACAGACACTGAGAGAAGGAACTTCTACCCCCTGGTGTTGACAAGTTCATGTGTTTTCAATTCGGTCATACGGGGAACCACGAGCCAAGCACAGTATATGAATGAATTAGTCTGCTATTATGCCAATTGTGGAGGTTCAACAAAATCCGTCCAACTATATAAGTGCTGGCTGGCAGGTCCTACAGGGACTGCGGAGGATCGCAGCGTACATGCATGTTGATTCACGTGAGTGTCATCTGGCTGACTGTTCATCTTCAAGGAGAGGTGTGAGCAAACAATGCTAATGGAGGCGCCAGCATTCAGATCATCAAAGCCAGGTCAGGTCGTTTGGACATCAACGGTCGTCGTTGATGAGGTTCTCCTTAGGATGTACTCGTCGCTACTTTGCAGGAATTGCGGGTGCCATAAAGAAAGAGCAAAACAAGAAGCAGCAGGGCATTCTAGACTCTAGAGAGCAACATGCAAAATTTTCCCGATGATGTGTGTGGTTTTGGGTCGCCTAATCCCTATCAAAGATTAAGCACGGAGTGGCAGCTAAGTAGATCTCAACTTGCAATTCCTCAACCTCATAAGAAATGGATCCAATCCGACAATTCAGAAAGACCCAAAGAGCTTTACATAAATGCTTGACCATTAGTACACTAGATTTCGAACATTAAGGCCTTTGAGAGGTGGCATAAGGTGGCATGGACGTTCTTGGACATCTCCAAAGCTGGAGTCTGCGAAAACCGTGCTCCAATTGTTTATGTTGCTTCGCTTGCCGGAACATGTCCGAACATCAAACATATTCTCATAGCCTCAAGTGGGTCGGAAACAAAAGACAGAAAAGTAGTTGTTCTTGTAACACGAAGCAAATTGTTCTCGACGCTTTAGGATCAGGCCAAAGGTTTCAAGGCACGAAAAAATGGTGGTGTGACGCCTCCTTCCATAAGCCGACCTTTGCACAGGCATTCAATGCAATGTTGCAACCTCAGGCACAGCCGATAGTAGGGTGAATCTCTCAGCGGCCAGATCTCTGAGACACTCAACATGTTCGTCGAACAGATCCCAGAGAAAACAGCTACGGCACTTCGTCGCCGCTATCAGCGATCACGAAAAATGGGTAATCACTTCAGGATTGCAACAACCTATATAACTATAATCATCGCAGGACCTCTACTCTGCAAGCAAGTGAGATAGGACTCGGCCTTCGCCTTAGTCTCATAAAGGTGACTGGGCGTCTCTGACAGGCTAAGATGGACTGAACTGGCTGACTCAACTGGGTAGATGGCTATTATTTCTCATCAACTAGGAGCAAGGACGCTACTAGGGGCTCCTGGCCTTACTACTAGGAGCAAGGAGGCTACTAAATGGGTCACTAGTTTCTGGTCGTCGAAACAGTGCCCTCGCTGAGGCGCCCTGCTGATCAAGCCTGCACGTGGGGGGTGCTGCGATGGGACTGTGAAGGGATTGCGAAGGGACTGCATTTCAGAAGTGAGGAAGCCATACCGTCATCAGTCAAATAGTTAAAATCTGCAAGCAGGATTCAAGCGCAAGTCTACAGCAGAAACCTCCTGCAAATTTGTTCAAAGTGGCGAACGCGTTTCTGGGTGATTTTGCCACCTGTGATGCATGTTTGTATTTCATGTGTTAAGTTAAGTCTCCCTAAAAGTCTAGACACCAAATCATTAGTGCGAGCGCTTCTTCAAGGAAGCTCCCCCCCGCCCACAGGCAGGGGGAGCTTCCTTGCAGAAGAGTGACCTATCCTGCATCCTAGCTACGAGCAAACTTCTCGTAGTAGCCGAGTAGTCGCCCTTGCTCAATTAAGTAGGCGCCTGCTTAATTCAGTCCTGGGCTTGGATTCCCGCCCAGCCGCCTGAGTCTTTGTTGCCAGGAAAGTTCCAAGTGCTCGCTGCGAGAAGAGCCTCGTGCGAAACTCTGAGCAATATGGAGATCGGCCGCGTAAGCCGCCCAAGGGGGATCCAAGGGTAATTTAATTCTAATAGCTTCTTGTTACTACTAGTAAGGCACCTGTTACTACTAGCGTGGCACTTGTTACTAGTAACAAATATACAAAGAAACTGAACGTTTGAACTTTATTTGTGATCTCCATTCATCCTTCAACTTTGGCCGATTGGCTGGGAACCCTCCAATATTGGAAGTCTTCAAATCATAAACAAACAAACAAACTAACTAACTAACTAAACAAACATAAACAAGTAAACAAGCAAGCAAACAAACAAACAAACAAACGGTGCAAGGCACTTTGTTCAGAACCTGGGTCAGACTCCTGGTCCAACTTGACCCCACCACTGGCCAAGGCGCCAAGGCCGAGTCCCAGCAACGTTCCAAGCTCGAGACCTGGTGCCATCCCATCCCAAAGGGTGTCCCACTTGGAGAGCTCCGGTTTCACCAGTATTTGTGGTGAAAGGATGGGACTTGCCTGTAACTGACTGTATATATAATAAGGATATACATACATATATATATATATACTGACTGTGTATCTACATATACATATATGCAAGATCAGACTGATGGAACATCCTCATTTCTTCTATTCTATACATTCTATGGAGAATTTGATCGTAATCCGTGAAACACATTGACATCATTTGACATCTATGGAGTGATTTTGGTTTCAGTGGTTGTTGTTCCTTGAGGATGTCCAAGATAGGCGACTCATCTTCAGGCCATCCGGGTCCGGCGTTCTCTGTGAAATCAGAAACCAACTGTCAAAGCAAATAGAATCCCAAACACAAAAAATATACAAAATTGCTGATGATTTCCCCTTGCTTTGCATGTTGAATCAAGTAGTCAGCAGTCAGTGAACTGGATACACTGTCCTCAATCCCTCGTTGAAGTTTCGGAACCCAAGCTGCACTCGCTTTGCTCCTTGATTGACGGCCAAAAACTTCAACTCACTAACAAACCATTGAATGTTTGGACAAGGTCAGCCCAGCCAAACCCTTGGCAACAGGTGATTCAGGTCCCCAGCCCAGTCTGAGCCTGGTCTGTGAAAAGAGGGAACTGATGAGGGCGCTTGTGGACCACACCCAAGAGGTGCGAATCTACCAAACTCCAATGCATCTGGACAATCCAGGCTTGCTGGCATTTCGACGTCGAATCCTCAGGCATCAACACTAGCAGCAGCATTGTAGGAGATCTCATCCTGAGTTGGACACATGCATCAGGCGTAATTAGATGGCAAAAGCTGCTTGGACGATGAGAGTTCCAATACTCGATTGAACAAATCGGGGCTAAGTTTGACTTGCCTGCAGGATGTCGTGTCGTTCCGCAAAACAAGGATCCCCACAGACATAGGCTCCTGCAGAAATTCCAGGGCCTGGGAGTAGGCGGACTACTCTCAGCAAAGGGGTGTTGATGACCCCAAGAAATGCAGCGCTTTGTTGTGTAGTAAGAGACACTTGCGGTGAGCACACCCTCCTTGAAGAGTTTTCGACTTGGATGGCATTCTATTAATTCCATCCATCCCCTTCGGGAAATCACCTTTCTTGAAAAAAGTAAATTGTGTTAAACAAAAAAAACCTAAAAACAAAAAATTGTGGGAGTAGATGTTTGAATGATCAAGCAAACTCTGAAGCAAATCTTACATTATCGTGTGTGTTCTTTCCACCTGGACTCTGCACTTTGAATTGGTTTGGGTTTGGCCTTTGATGACACAGTTTGTCCCGGTCCATCCATGCCTGAGACCATGCTGCCCTGGCCGCGCGATCAGACCCGATGCATGCGTTGAAGCAGGCGACCTGAGCGCAGCAAGAAACACATGTTCTTCGCATACTTTGCTTCGGACAAGGAAGTGAAAGGAGTTAAACCTCAAACCCTGTTAAACCTGTATCAGGCAACATATTGTGCATTGTTCAACACTTAGATGTCCCTCGAGCAAATAAGAAACAGGCATCCCCCGAAAGGAACTCAAATTTGAGCTGGGGAAGGCAGAGGACAAACATCTCTTGTTTATGTGCGTTTACGTTTAACAGTTCAATCGCAACTAGTTTCAAGGTAGCTCCTGGCTGAATCCCAACTCATTCGATTCAAACAAACATGCAAACAGGTACCATATCCTGCTGATATTTTCTGCACTGATCATGGCTATACTGCACTACCAGGATGCGCTCGCGCTCTTGATCCAATCTGCCCTTCCATGCTGGCATCTTCAAGTCTTTGGTGCAATTGCTAATTCTAGGGTGTCCAGACGTCAATAGGGTGACGTGGTGGCGACCCTGTGCATCATCGTGTTCCATTTATCGGACTTGTTGACTCATTGTGCGTCTATAACTTTTGAAGGAACCTGGCGCCGTACTGGGGTAGGTCACCTCCATGACTTGTTGGACTTGTCTGCATGCATCTGTGGTGATTGCAGTGAAATGCTTCCCATCGGTGTTGCGTTTTCTGGCAATTTCCTGCTGTCTACAGTTAGCGTCCATCTGTCTGGAGCATCAGTGCGAGTTACAGGTAACTTTCAGCATTGTGCATTTCTGGCGAAACCCCTGACCTGGGCACTTCAGTCCACAGCAAACGTCGCCCCCACCAACGGCGCTTTGCACTTGGGAAAAGCCAAGAAAAACACCAAGGGAAAAGACTTGGAGAACGCAGGAGGACACACAATGTCAAGCAGGATCTTGCTGTGTAGCGAGCCTGTGCATGCAAGACACCGTGTTCAATTTCTTTGCCCTCAGCAGGTTGCTTGCAACTAAGGAGTTCTTACAGTCGCTTCCGGCGTGCTGCGCCCTCTTGTGACGGCACTGCAAAAAGAAGTACAGAATCGAAAGCAAAAGACACAGTTTCCATTGGTTTCCCCCAAAACACGAACAGTGCTTCCATTGGTCTCCATGGGTCAGCACAGCGAGGAGGCGGACTGACCACGGTCACCAAACATCGCAGCACTGATTGGTGCTCTCATCTGTGGAGGCCATCGCTCTTACGTTGGAGGCCATCGCTATTAGGTGCTCGCTCTCATCTGTGTGCTCCTTGGGCCCCTTGCTTCATTTCCTGCCGTGTCTCCCCTGGGGCACCTGGCATCCATCTGCAGAGCGCACTCTCTCGACCTCCGCTTGGCAGGACTTGGCCGCTACACGGTTCATGCCACAGGGATTTGATGGCATATAACGTGGACTGATCCTTGAGTTGATAAGCTTGAGTGGTGCTTTGGAATGTAGTGCAATTCCATGATATTTCAGGAGAGACAGGCTGACAGGCAGGCAGGCAACTAGACAGAAAGGCAGGCCTTTAGAGACCCCAACTTTGTAGCTTCACAAGTTCATCTGACCCGTGAACTCATGTGGCTTCCATTGGCCTGTTTGCACTTGGGTGTCTTTCTCCTCAACCAAGGTCATATCCAACAGGCTACTGCGCAAGTGAGATGCTACAACAGTTGGGGTCCAAACTACTGTGAACATACATGCCATCTCCAATCTCCAATTCAAAACAGGCCTGGCCAGCAAGGCTTGGGAGTCTTCCCACTGGCCTCCTTGCAGGTGCTTTCAGGTGTGCTGCCAAGTGAGCAATGTCTCAAACCATACAAGAAGACCTGCAGCAGATCTTGAGCTCAACATCGAAAAGCTTCGAGCTGCCTAAGGCAGGAACATCCATCAGCATCCGAAAACCAAGAATCTCGAATCACTTTTCGTCATCCTTCAGAGTCTCATGGTGGGCACTATTATTCCTAGCCATCCCAGCTCCTAGTCTCACATCTTTCCTCAAAGCTACTTTGGGTCTTCCTCCTATTCCCACATCGGTCCTCGGCCAAAGGCACTCAGGGCAGCCCCCCACCAGCACTCCCTCACAGTCAGTTGGCTTGGTTAAAGATGATCTTATTGGACAGGACCTGTCCGACAGGGATAAGAACCCCAATGGTGAACCATTTCATGTCCGGTCACAAGCTGCTTGTCACTCTGCCAATAGCAAGTAGTTCGCCACAGCCGAAGTATGTCAAGGTTTGCGCGAACTCCGTGACTGCTCAACCAAGTGAGATCAAACGAGAGTATGGATCCGACGAATTAAAATTAGAGGATATAGGTGGAGTAACAAAGTCCCAGTGCATTTTTGAAGGCGGGATGTGAAGCATGCCCACTGACTCTGGAGCTCGAGGGACCCACGACCAATAGTATACAGTATGCACATCTTCCATGTGAAAGCAACACCAGAAAAGCCAGCTAGCCTCTATGAAGTCCATTTCTCAAGTCTCAAAAAGCCATAAAACCACAAGCCCAGCAACTCATCGGTTCTTCCGGGCATCCGGTCATTGCTTTGCACACCGCTGCCACGGAGCCTGCGGGAGGCTGTTCAAAACTGCCGACCTTTCAAAAGAGTCAACTTCACCAAAAATGGGTGCTTCAAAGTGTCAAGCTAAAGCGACCAAGTCCTCTCCCGAGCTTGTCCAGGTGCCAATGTTTAGCATTTTGGGATCCTAGAGGCCCTAGAGGCCCTAGCCGAGCCCTAGGCCGCTTCCAACAGCTCGGTTCCCCTCAAGCTGATTTGTCCGAAACCAAGCTTTACCAGTTTAGGCGAGGAGGCCCGGCGCAGGTGGGACAAAACTGTCCGTCTCTGGGTGCGTGGGCACCTTCTCAGCATCTGAGTGACTTCCACCCACTTCGCAGCGGCTCCCAAGCAACTGACCACCGCCTGTCGATGCCGAGACAATATCAGTGCAGCAGTGCTCACTCTGAAAAGTAATTTTGGAAATACAGGTCTAAGGCTACAAAATTTGAACAGTTGTGGTTGGTTTGCTGTATTTCACACGTCCTTTATGCTGGTAAGCACCAAAACCCAGGCAAAGCTTTGGGACACAATTGGAGCATTGCTCAAGGGGTCTACTGTATGTATATATATATATATACATGACATTGGCGCTTCTCACTGCCCGAGAGATGTTTCTGGGTAGTGATGTTGTGGTGGATGCAGGAACTTCGCTGGTGTGTGATGCAGGAAACAAGTGGGAAAATCGTGTCATTTGTTGCTTGACAGAGTGTTAGACAGGTGCGGGATCCTTTCAACACATGCCAGATTGGCGGCGAATGTCACGATATCTGCTTTGACCTGAGGGCACGCAAACTCCGTCCTCTGGTCCTCTGAAAACCCAGGGATACAAGTAACCACAATGACCGATTGATATTTAAACAGCGTCCACACTTCCTCAGCTACCCTAAACCCCTGCGACTAGTGACTAGTGGGGCATTGTGCATCGTGTAGGACTTGCCGCCAAGAAAGGTTTCGTGAGAAATGCTTCTTTTGCTGCCCGGGTCATAGAGGAAGCAGATACCAACGATGTATATAAAGCACGCGCTGTTCATCTCAGTCATCAAAATGAAAGAAATTCAGCTTGGTTCTCGGTACTTAGTACCTGGGCACCTCAAGGCTCAGAGTGATTTTGCGCAACGGAACCACACCAGGCCGGCCTCCTCAAAAAGCAGCAATGCCTCGGTGAGAAACTTGTATGAGCGTTGTTCCACCTTACTGAGGATTGGTTCCTTTCACAAGTTCCTTCCGCAATGCGCAGCTCGCGTTTTGGCTTGTGCTGACTGTATGTATTTACCTTTCGCAAAGGCATCTTACACAAGCCTCTCTTCAAATTGTTACATGGGAGGAATTCAAATCTGCAAAGGCTGCAATTTCCCGCAGGAAGAACAAAGAACATGCCGAAACGTATCGAAAAGCCTTGGAGAAAATTCCAATCGAATCATCAAATCTGTACTCAAACAGAATGTTCTGGGCCGCCCAAGCTGTGGGCCACTGCTGCCCCTAGAGCGTGAAAACCAGAGTCATTCATCCGGGGCCAGGAATGAATCGAATCATGCTGATTGAATGAATCTATGAAGCTTGGTTTGTTTGTGCATGATTAGCAATTATATCTTCTTTGCTGAAAACCCAGGAGATACAGGATGCAGCACCGGCTCCTAACCCAAAGGCCCTTGAGCAGTTCTATGTCAGTCGTGGCAAAAGTCCAGTCTCCACCAGAACCTAAAAACCTTCCACTTCCTTCAAACCCGCTCAAGCAGCTCACGCTGACCTTCCAGCGCTACAACGTCACATCCCTCTCTGAAACTAAATTGGACCGGTGAAGGATCAACCACGCACCATCCCAAAGCTTTGGTAGTATCAGAGCGGGTTCCAAAAAACTCAGTCCATCGCTGGGGAACTTCTTTTTCAGCTTGAGTGCGAGTGAGGATTAGACTCTCATACTGTGGGAAGGTTAATGGTTATATATAATGGCCCGTAGACGATCCTGTTCATTTGTGGTTCGGTCAGGATTTTCACCCACAGGCAGCTGCATAAATGGCTATGCTATGCCATAGCTGCAGTACCTTTCGTCCTTGGGCAACAAACGGCAGTCAGTGCCATTGGAAGGACCCAAATCGCCAACCCATTGGACCCACCTTCTCACAGGCCGTGATGGCGCTGTTCACCGCCTGCAGGTCAACGCCTCGCAAAGCGTTTGCAACACACCGCGTTCGAGGCCTCCCAGTCCGGTTCACCACCTCAACGATTGCAGCATCATGAGCAGTCATGAGCATCGTGAGATAGAGCTACCAGCTACAAATAAGATCAAATAAGATCCATCTGAGCCAGCCTGTTCGTGTTGGGCCCTCTGCGAAGAGGAGGCTTAGCCTCGGTAGAGCCATGAGGCAGTCAGCCAAGAAAAGCGGCCGAAACCAGCCAGGGGGTGATAGGGACGCAGTACTGGACATTCTTGGAAATTGTATGAAATTGTCGTGTGTTGGGGCAACCATGGCCGATTCACACTCTTGCAAAAGGGTGCCCTCGTTTCATCCAAATCCATGCAGCCAATGATTCAGGCATTCATGGGTAGGGGTCAAAACAAATCAAAGCCTTGTGCAATATTCATAGCGGTAACGTTACTGAAAGGCACCCAAATCCACCCACTGGAGTTATATAAAAGTAGATAACAAGTTCATACATGTTCTACAACTGCAGTTTTGCAGCAAGTCAATCCATGGCCGCCGCGGTTCACCGGTATATCTACGGCCAAAGGGCGCTGCTTGCCATTGGCTCGCCCTGAGTCGGAGGTAGAGAAACTTGAGGCCAAGGGTACGTGACGAAAGCTAGCAGGGATGCGTCCGTGTCAGTGGAGGCGAAGCATACAGCGCCGTCCAGTGACAAAGGACTGGTGGGACATCAAGCGGAGTGAGGCAAATCTTTTTTCATAGGCATGGGGCTGTTGGAGGGATGGTTCACAAGGTCTCGCTAAGACACACGAACAGCAATGACACAGCCAACCTTAGCTTGTGAATCTGTTGAATCTGTTGCATCGTATCCCAAAACCTCCACGGAGGAGTTGAACCAAAGTGGAAGCCATAAGAGGTGTCCAAGAGGTGTCCCAGAGGCGTCCCAGGGGGGAGTTGAACCCGCGGAGGGGGGGGGCTCTACATATGAAGTTTTCACGTGATGCGGCAATCTCGAGGATTCCAGACCCTCACTTGCTAAAGCAAGGACAACTCCAGCTAGATGGTGCTAGCTTTCGTGAATAATTCTCAGAACCTGTCAGAACTGGATACTACCTACACTTGGGTGGAAGCTGGCAACTCCCGGTCAGGTATATCCATCTATGCATGCGACCAATCCGCTATCAAGCCTCCGAAGGCGACCCCTTCGGTGCCCAAATGGCCCAAATGCTTTGCAAAGCGAAGACCAACCTCCCAGCCTCTCACAGGCATTGATGGCTGCTCCAAGGGCTCCAACCTTGGCTGCTGGAACGTGGCGACGAAAGATGAAGGACCAGCGCAGTGCAGCGCAGCGCAGCACAGTGCAGGCTGGTGTCCATTGTTTCAAATCATGTCACCGGTTACAAGTATGGGACATGTTCTGGCCCCAGTTGCTTACTTCAGGGTGACTGCTGAGATGCCTAGTCCTGTGACATCTACATTCACTCCGATTCCCTAGCATTCAATCTGCCATCCTCCTTTTTGTGGCACCTGGCCCCGCGTAGCTCCAGGCTCCGAAGGTGCTCCAGCAGAGACAGCCTCGGAGGCACGACGAGTGAGACGTCGACTGACATGTTACCCAACCACAGATTGATCTTTTGAATCTTTCTGACCGTCTGCCCTGATAAGTTCTCTTCAATTTGCAAGCAGAACGGTGTGGCAGAAATTTGCGATCCCTTTCCTGAGGTCTGGGCGCCGAGGGCCAAGCTGATTGGCTAGCACATGCGCCTGGGTTGTAGCTGTCGGATCAGTTGAAAGCCGTGGTCAACGTGGCCGATGCGGCCGCTGAGTGGTCTCTCTTGAGGCCGCTGATGTGAAGGAAAAACCCAAGGAACCAACAAGATCTCTCACAAGGACTCGACCAATCGCACCGGAGAAAACCACATAGTTGGGTCGAAGCACCTTGGCCTCAAGCAAAGCCGCCACAGGTAAAGTAAGTGCGTGGTTACACCTGGCAACACCAGGCAACTATACCTTCCCCTTACCACAACATGCCACAATCCAAAAACATTTAAAGTTACCTGCAAGTGTTCTGGCAACTTCAGACTCACTCAAACTAAGACCCTTTCAGGAGCAGGTAGGCAGGATAGTTTTGTCTTTTAGTTTTATGCATGATCAATGATAAAGGCCATCGCTTGAATCTAATTCTTACATCTCATAAGGTTGACACCTACAATCTACAAATGCCTGTCCCTCAACCAGTCCCTCACGCCTTCATAACCGCCAAGAGTTGAACGGCCTGGAAGAGTCGCATGGCGAGATGGCTCCATGGCTCCAAGATGGTCATCCGGTGGGTCATCCGGTGGATCCGGAATTGGAAGGTGCCATCCCCAATGTGGATCTGCAGATGATGGTCTAAATGTATCTAAATGCTCTGCTTGGTCACAGTGGAGCCCGTGACCGAGAAACCTCCAATCAACTGTTGGACGCCCGACAGCAGCGGCCTGCTGCCAATTCTGGCCGGAGCAGCTGCTGATGGCAGCACCGTAACTCATCATGTTGGTGAGGCCTCGGAGTGGGGGTGCCCAAGGCGTCGCACGAAGCGAATCACCGGTACGAAGATGCTCAAGAGGTCGCTGAGGAAGAAAGGACATACGGAGCACCACTTGAGGATTCTTTAGGCAGACGAGGGCACCCACCTTCATCCATCTGCGCCAGCAGTTGTAGTGCCTGGTCGGCACAGGACATCCAACTCGGACCACAACCAAAAAGGCCGAGTTTCGTACCGTGTATTTTTTGTCTAAAGCTCGCTCCCCCCCCTCCCTACTTAATGAAGTAGGTGCCTACTTAATTAAGTAAGGGAGAGGTAGCTAGTACCTCAAGTAGCTACTACTTAGGCAAAGCGCTTGCACTATTCATTTGGTTCCTAGATTTTTACGGATGCTTAACGAGTAGTGTTAAAATTGTTGACAAAGAGAATGTCCGGGAAGCTGACAATGAGTCATCGAATCAGTTGCTATGTTCAGACCCTTTACTTGCAATGCTCAAGGCTCTATCATTGCAATTGACTTCAGGAGTGTTTCTAGTTTGTTGATTCCATGAGAAGCGGGAAGCATCCAAGAAAATGGAATCATTGATCACTGGGCTGGGTCTCGCCTGCTGCAACTGCTTTCCCTCTTTGCAGGCCACGATTGCTAGGGTCTCAGTTCAGCAAGGCGTGATCTTGCTGTGGAGTGCAATGTAAGCTAGCAGTCTTTGAGAGTGGCCTGCTAGCTCAGCGGATGTTCGGGCGGCCTCCAGCCTTTCGGCCGCCCCGAAAGCACTCCCTCATCAACGAGGCCTTAATTTTGGGAAGGTAATGTATGAAGTTTACGTCAAAACCCAGGCATATGGGAAAGTCAAAATGAATCTTTTGCGGGAGGTGTTTTGAGCCCATACAGCTGGACACCTTCCTGCTAACAAGGCCGTATCATGAGTGCTGCACAACAGCCCATCGTGGATCTAAAAAGCTTTGAGACCATGGGTTGGAATAATCAGCCTCGCACATTGGCAGCTTTTGACCCCTTCAAACTTGCTCTCCAAATCACCCACATGAGCCATTATATGTCGCCTCCAGCCTTGATTGAACATCAAGTTCAACCTATATACATCGCTGTAGCTCCCACTGGCAATTACTCACTGTGCTGTACTGTACTGTTTGTACATTGTACTCTGCCACACTTGTTGTCTTGCTGGGAAACCACCGAAACATTTCGTTGAACCACTTCACGCAATAGAAAGCTTCCTGCTAGTGTCACCCTGGCCAGCACAGGGATTAGCTCAAACTGGGGAACGCTTCATTGACCAAGTTGGCCAATTAGGGATCCTAAGCGCTGGACCCAGGTCCCATCATCTTGACCTTGGGGCATAACAAAAGACATGGACTGTTTTCATTCCAAAATGGAATCCTATTCTAAATGCACTTCTCTGCTGGACATGGAACTCTGGCCCATTCTATCACACGAGTCCCTAGCCTTTGATGAAATCATTCATGCACCCCTGTGAGCCATGAAACACTGACACTGTCACATTTTACTTCCGCAATCCGCGGAGGACTTGCTGTTCCCTTTCCAATCCCCAGCATCGGTCCAAGCCTTCCTAACCAAATCGCCACGTCAACACAATCGCATCGTCCGCCGGGTGGCTGGAAGTGCCTGAGGTGGCCAACCAAAGGCCCTGTGCCGAGGCCGGGCAGAATCAGAATCAGCTGCATGTGTTGCACTCCGGATCTCCCAGCGCTGATCCGAGCAAACCACCGTGTGATGATTTGATCGAGGATGAAAAGCGGCCCGCAAGTACTAATTAGTGGTTCAGAAAGAGATAAGCCCCTCTCTCTGCTCGAAAAACTTGGTGTGTCTCCAGAACTTGCGAATTGAACTGAACTGGCAATCACTGAGCCCAAACGACCCGGCAAACTAAGCCCATCAGCCGAACCGAACAAAGCCAAACCGCACGTGTGTTCCCACGCGTTATTTGTCTAAAGCACCGTTGTGATGAGCTGCTGTTGTTCATTCAGTGTTAAGAACTGGTTTTAACAAGAGTCTCGGATCTGATACGGTTTGCGGTTGGACTACTTGCTTCTAATTTAAAAGGTGTCCGCGTGCATGTTCGTTGTTGGTGGGGCCTTGATCGTGTTTCAAGGGAGGCACGGAGGCACAACACCCATTACAGGCCCATCCGAAAGGCAGCGTGAACTTTCAAAAGTAAGGCTGGCAGAAGAAAAGGAAAATGGAAAGCGACGGCGAGAATGATATTTGTTACTGTACACACATTGAAACATTCGATGTGATTGAATGGTGCCCTCACCCGGTGGAACCTCCAGTTTCTTTACCCGTTTTGATGCTCGCACCACACTCTCACCCCGAGACGCGCCAAAGTTTACATACGCGGCAAAATCCGTCAGTTCCCTATAATAAATGAAACCAGAAAGGGTGGAGGACGGTAGAGGGCAGTTACTTGATGACAAATTAGAATCTAGCAGCTTGGTTGCATGTTCCATTGGGACGTGTCTATTGAGAGTCTGAACGGCAAATGGGATCAAATGGGTCTGAAATACTTCGCACCCGCCCAACCACAATTTTCACAGAAAGAGAAAGGAACAGCGTCCTTTTCCGACGTTTCAAGCCTCGCTAGAGGGGTCTGAACCAGGTCCAGGTCTATCCCTGTCTGAATCACTACAAACACCATGCACCCAGCCACCCTCCGCCCCTTTCCAGACAGGCCGGCAGTGTAAATATAAGCTGATGATCGTGGGATCGTCGATCATGTCTTAAAGACTCATTGCGGGGTCAGTAGGCACAGCAAGATGCCGGCCCGGCTGTGATCGGCTTGGAACAATTTTAGGGCACCCCAAGCGCGGGCCGGGCACGGGCCAGGCGCATTCAACAGACAGGGCACGGGCCAGGCGCATTCAACAGACATTACCAGTAGCATTCATAATGTTGATATCACACGGCGCGCGCCGGGCGCAAAGTTTGGCAGATTGAAACACGACAGTGTGTGTGTGTCCCTTGTAGTCACAGGGATCCTTTCGGATTGTGCTTTTCTTCTTTTTTCAGCAGGGGGCCCATGGACACTTGGATGGCATGGGCCAACGAAGACCCATCCAAGCTGCCGTGAAAACGTACCTGCTTGGTGCACCGGGGCGCATTGTAAGACGCAGCTGGTGGCCATTTATTCCTTTTAATTCTGCAGATGTGCACGGACCGCCGTCATCTTGTCGATCCGAACTCGTCGATTTGGTGCTTGCGCTTTGGGCCTCACTTCCGTTTGAAAACCCCCAGCCTCCATTAGGTTTTACCTGTACTCTTGGGAAATGGTAACCTAGGCTGGCGTGTGGCACCGCTGTCAAGTCAGTACGCATATCCATAAGTGTGTTTGGCCTCGTGCCAACCCGGAATGAGCCCGTAGAGTGCCTCCCGTGGACCCGTCGAACGGGGGTTTGTCGTTGTTTCCCTTGCTTTGGAAACGTAAGTGCCCACAGCGGGCGAAGCTGGCTCATGCCACAAGAATTTGGATGTTTGTCTCATCTTTGGAATTCCAAGTTGGCTCATGCCTCTACGTGACCGCAGCGGTCAGAGGTGGCCGCCCTCGGGCATGCTGTACGTGGTCGCAGCGACCGAAGTTTGTTCAAGGTTCATTGGAACCTGTCGAAACCTTGGGTGCACATACAGCGTATACATTCAAACGAGGCAGGTTTTCCTAGGTCGTTTTAATGAGGTTCGGCTTCATCGGTTCTCGTCCCCTCCATTTGGTTCTCCTTTCATCCCTTCCCCTTCACACACTTTTGTTTCCTCTTTTCTTTCATGTCCTCCTGTCTTCATGTCTGGTCATCTCATCCTTTTCTTCGTTGCGCGCACATTGGTCCCGGCCTTAGTGTGTACGTGCACTTCTACATACATGTAAACACAGGTTTCAGGTCGCCCAGGTCTTTACAATGAGCTGGGCTTCATCGGGTGTCCCTCTGCACTTGGTTCCCCTTTCATTTCAACCACACGCACCTTTGTCCCGTCTCGTCCTCTTGTCATGTCTTCATTCTCTTGTCTCTTGTGCGCGCACACGTGCACATTGGCCCTCACCTTACCTCTTCGCCTCCCCTCGAAAAGGGGGTGTATGTGCCCCTTGTAGTCACAGGGATCCTTTCGGATTGTGTTTTTCTTCTTTTTTTTCAGCAGGGGGCCCATGGACACTTAGATGGCATGGGCCAACGAAGACCCATCCAAGCTGTCGTGAAAACGTACCTGCTTGGTGCACCGGGACGCATTGTAAGACGCAGCTGGTGGCCATTTATTCCTTTTAATTCTGCAGATGTGCACGGACCGCCGTCATCTTGTCGATCCGAACTCGTCGATTTGGTGCTTGCGCTTTGGGCCTCACTTCCGTTTGAAGACCCCCAGCCTCCATTAGGTTTTACCTGTACTCTTAGGAAATGGTAACCTAGGCTGGCGTGTGGCACCGCTGTCAAGTCAGTACGCATATCCATAAGTGTGTGATTTTTCTTATTCATTCTTATTCAGTAGATCTCAATAAACATGTTTAACTCGGCCAAAAATAGCTTTTGCTTCACTTAGCGCAAACATGAGCCGTAGTACCGTTGACAGCTGCACGCACGTGTGTCTGTTCAGATTAGAGCCATGTGGAGAACACCCCACGAACCGAAACCTAGCAGGAACTTTTTAGGCATACAAGCCCAATCGAACCGAACCCCAGGGTTTCTTGCTGTTTCCTGTGACTCAAATAGGGAGGTCACTCGTCAAATGGACCAAGAGAGCTGGTTGTCCAGTCTCCCCTTGAAAGATAAACCAACGTCGGTCGCCGTCTGGTGCCTCTTGCCAGTGTTTGCCGCGGATGCAAGCATTCACGGCCGTGTTGCAGCCTCCGATAGCATCTATATGCAGTGACCACGGTCCAGAACATCTATGGTGCGAAGATTCGAATGGTGTTGTCAAGCATTCCAGGTTGAATGTAGAACTGGGTTGGCACACAGCACTTTAAAGTCACTCTGGACTCTACATCGTTGGGCTGTAGGCATAAATCGCAGGTTTAACAGTGACCATGCCATCATTAAGGTTCCCGCCATCATAGGCGGGGGGAGCTTCCTTGAAGCCTAAGCGGTAATAGCTAGTTAGAGCTGCTACTTTCCCTTGCTATTATATACTACTAGCTACTTGAGCCTACTACGGCCCACCCCTGCGGGCTACAGAAAATGTCAAAAAGAAATACAAATATTCTCAACTTCCATTACTAGGACCAAGGACGCTACTAGGGGCTCCTGGCATCGCTACTAGGAGCAAGGACGCCACTAGGGGCTCCTGGCCGTACTACTAGGAACAAGACGCTACTAGGAGCATGAGTCGCACCTGTAGTTGTCTCCAAAGATCTCGCTTGAGCATCCTTCAAGACGTGCAAGGCCTTAGCACGTGCCATCCGCACAGTCAACATGACATGACCCATGTCCTCAAGGCTACCATCAACTCTTGCTCCACGACACATCGCCAGTGCAGCTTGTCTCATCACCAGAATCTGTTCTCACCACTAGCCATGCACGTATGTATGTGTGTGTATGTGTGTGTGTGTGTGTGTCAGTGAAGCAAAACAAAAAGATCATTGCTCCCGAACGGCCCCTTGAATACTTTGGGCTCTTGGTCGTTTCTGACTTGAGCTGCCGGAGATGTTTTATATATGAAACTCTCATGGACTCTCTACTCCCTCTGTCCAATTTGTAGACACGAAGGAGTTCCATCTACACTGGAAACCTTACAAGAGGGAGGTCTCATGACAAGCAGGCCTAGG